TCGTAATACAATAGGACAATCTATATATATATATATATATATATATATATATATATATATATATATATATATATATATATATATAATCTGTACTCATTAAAATTCTTATTCGTAATACAACAGGGCAATCTATATCTATATATATCATCTATCTATACTATATATAAAAACAAAATTCGGAACTTTAACTTCCCGTCCAATTCCTAAAAAATCTGGCTTTCTAATAAAATATATTGTTTTCTACTTTCCTATTTGTACTATAATTCTAGGTTAAATTTCATATTTTAATATTATAAAATTGTGTAATACTTTTTTTGAAGGTAAAAATTGTGTAATACAATTCCTAATAGAATATATTGTTTTCTATTTTCCTATTCATACTATAATTCGTAAATGATGTGGGAAGTATTGAAAAGTCAAAATGCTTTTATTTAGAGAAGTCTTAGCTTAATAGCTTCTTATTTTTAGTTTTTTTTTTCAAAAAATATTTTTATTCTTAATGTTCGACTGCACAAAAAAAAAATTGTCTAAAACAAAATTTATATTATTATTATTATTATTATTATTATTATTATTATTATTATTATTATTATTATTATTATGTAAATATTTTAATAATAAAATTAAAAAAAAAACAAAAAAAACAACGGGGCGCCCGTGGCTCCCCTTTGTAAATGATGTGGGATCATTTTGATCCCACATCGAAAATGTTTAGAAAAAGGAGCTCTTGAGCTCTTCTATATAAGAGGAGCAATGCTCTTCTTCCAAACATAATTGCTTGCCCTTCAACGTGGGCAAGTATTGAGAAGTCAAAAGGCTCTTATTTAACCCTTAGCTTAATGACTTCTTATTTTAATTTTTTTTTATGAAAATATTTTTCTTTTTTAATGTTTGGTCGCACAACAGAAAATTATTATTATTATTATTATTATTATTATTATTATTATTATTACTATGTAATGTAATTATGTAATATTATGTAATAATATAACAAAAAAATCTAGCTTTCTAATAAAATATATTGTTTTCTACGTAATTTCCTATTCGTACTATAATTCTAGGTTAAAATTCATATTCTAATCTTATAAAATAGTGTAATACAATTCCTAATAGAATATATTGTTTCTTACTTTCCAATTTGTACTATAATTCTACATTGAAATTCTTATTCGTAATACATTAGGGCAATCAATATCTATACATATATATATATATATATATATATATATATATATATTTATTTATTTATTTATTTATTTATTTTATTTATTTATTAGGTTCTGGTGCGGTTAGGGTGCCTAAGTGCGGTTGTGCAGTTTAATCTGGACCATTCATCTCGCTTAAATCAACGTCCAGAGTTGTCAAATTTTTTAAAAAAAAACACGGTGGCAATTTTGTAATTTTTGCATCTAGGTCAAAATTAAGGTGAGTGTATCGGTGATTAATGTGCGTGAGTTTTGTATATAAGATGCGTGAGGTTTGTGTGTAAGGTACATGAGTTTTTTGCTTAATGTACGTGGGGTTGTGTTTAACGTGAGTAGTTGTTAAAACTTAAAGTGTGGACTATTGTGCTTAAGGTGCGTGAGATTTGTTCTTAATGTGAGTGGAGTTGTGCTTAATGTACGTAGGGTTTGTGCTTAATGTGTGTGAGGTTAGTGATTAATGTCAGTAGTTATTGAAACTAAAGGTCTGTGAGTTAATACTTAAAGTGCGTGGGGGTTGTGCTTAATGTGCGTGAGGTTGTGCTTAATGTGCGTGAGTTTAATTTTGTACTTAATGTGCGTGAGTTTGTGCTTAATGTCAGTAGTTGTTGAAACTTAAAGTCTGTGACTTAATATTTAAAGTGCGTGGGTTTTGTGCTTAATGTGCGTGAGGTTGTGCTTAATGTGTGTAAGTTCTGTAATTAATGTGCGTGAGTTTGTGTTTTTATCACTTAAGGTGCGTCATTTTTAGCTTATGCTTCTTTCTTCCAGACACGCACGTGTTTTTTTTTTTTTTAATTTTCATTGATTTGAGTCGTTGATCTAAATTTGATCAGGCTCAGATCTAACCGCACGGGAAGCTATACCCGCACCTGAACCCTTCCCTAAATATAAATATAAATATATATATATATATATATATATATATGTATGTATATATATATATATATATATATATATATATAATAATAATAATAATAATAAAAAAAAACAGAATCTAGCCACAAAAATTTTCCTCCAAAGTGTAAATGCATTTTGATAGAAACAAGATTAGCAAGTATGTATGCATTAATTGTGTGGGTAGATGTATTTATACATATATGTTTGAAGTTATTCTGAGCTCAATAACTCAAGTACGGATAGAAACAAGATTAACAAGTTTTATTTAAATATGTTAGTTATATAATTAAAGTAGTTATTTCAAATTCAAATTCCTTTCAAAAAAAATTAAATTCAAATAATAATACAAGTAACAATAAACTTTAAAATCAACATAATAATAGCATAATTAAATTTTTAAAAATATTAAATATTACATTGTATAGTTATACTTACATTTTTAATAAAACTAATTCTGAGCTCAATAACTCAAGTACCTTTTTTTTGTTTTGTTTTCACAATCATTACTTTCTTTGCTAATTCAGAGGATGTTAAAAATTTAATTGGTAAATTTATTAAATTAATAATAGTTCGTGCATCACACATGACAATTACTAGTATAATTACAAGTAAAATCCTCCTATTAGCATTTTCCTGCCCAAACTCATTGTATTGGTCAAATTATTTAATTATGGTAAACTATGAAATAATTAATGATAGTAATAGAAATCATAGAAGAATATAGAATACAAGAATATTTAATTATGGTTATATTATTATTGTGGCTCACGAAATAGAATACAAGAATATTTAATTATGGTATATATTCTTATTATGCCCCACGGCCATTATATACTAGCAGAACTTAAATAATAATAATATAATAATAATATAAGAGGTAATAATAATATCTAAAAGTAATCAAGTGTTAATAATAATAATAATAATAATAATAATAATAATAATAATAATAATAATAATAATAATATTAACGTAAGAATTATAACATAGAATAAAAAGTAATAATTAATATAAACGCTTCCTCTAAAACTCAATCTCATGACCTCCCACATGGGAGAGATCACTACATGCCATCTTAGCACAATGTGCTTGGCTGTTAAACACTACCATCATATTAGTATAATTATAATTATGTAATAATAATAATAATAATAATAATAATAATTATTATTATTATTATTATTATTATTATTATTATTATTATTATTATTATTATTATTATTATTATTATTTAAAAACAAAATCATCCTATTTCATTTTCCTGCCCAAACTTTTGTAGTAAAGCATATTTGGTAAGTAAATGTTAAATGAAAATTAAATAAAATCTATTAATTGGTAATATTATGTATGGTATTATATTCTATAATATAATTGATAATATTATTGTTTAAGTATAATAATATTATTGAGGTACACCATTATCTGAAGAGGAAAGCACAGGGCCGTGATGGGGTAGCTGAGTTGAAGATTGACATGTCTAAAGCTTATGATAGAGTTGAGTGGAGGTTTCTACGTGCGGTGATGTTGAGACTGGGTTTCAGTGATAAATGGGTAAATATCATCATGGAGACAGTGAGTGGTGTAAAGTACCACATTTTGCACGAGCAGAGACAGTTATGGCCAATAGTGCCAGGCCGAGGGCTACGCCAGGGTGACCCGTTATCCCCATACCTGTTCTTGATGGATGTGCAGGGATTGAGTGCTTTAATTGAGGACCGAATGAGGCGAGGAATGCTGCATGGAGTGCGGGTAGCAAGGGGGGCACCGGTGATATCTCACTTTTTGTTCGCAGACGATTGTTTCCTATTTATGCGGGCGGACACGGTGGAGAGTATTAATATGAAAGAGGTTCTGGATGTATATGCAGAGGCTTCGGGGCAGATGGTTAATTTTGATAAGTCCATGGTGTGCTTTAGTAGTAATACAAGTCAGGCAGGTAGAAATGCTGTAATGAACACTCTAGGAGTCCAGCAGGGAGACACAACGGAGAGATATTTGGGGTTGCCATCATTAGTTGGGAGGAACAAAAAAGCTATTCTGGGGTTTGTTAAGGACCGTGTTTTGGCACGGGTTAGAGGCTGGAATACCAGGTTCCTGTCTAGGGCTGGCCGGGAAGTACTCCTGAAGAATGTGCTGCAGGCTTTACCTAGTTATGCCATGATGGTTTTCTCATTACCTGTGACTTTGTGTAGGGAGATTGAAGTTATCCTAAATCAATATTGGTGGATAGGGAAGGTAGCCGGGAATAATGGAATACGGTGGAAGGCTTGGAGTGCGTTATGTAGACCCAAGTCTAAGGGTGGACTGGGGTACAGGACTCTGAAGGAGATGAATTTGGCACTACTAGGCAAGCAGGCTTGGCGGCTTCTAACAAGGCCGGACTCGTTGGTTGCCCGGGTCTATAAAAGCAGGTATTACCCGCGTTCGAGCTTTATGGAAGCGGGGATTGGCCATAATCCATCATACATATGGCGAAGTATTGTTGAGGCAAATAATGCAATCAAACAGTGGTACCGACGGAGCATTGGTGACGGGAGAACTACGAGTATTGGGGAAGCACCGTGGTTGGTAATGGCGGAGGATCCATATGTGACAACTCACTTGCATGAAACCGTTAGATTGGCCCCAGTAAGCTCGTTAATGAATGGTGCTGGGACTGGTTGGGATCGTGCTTGTGTCTTGGATCTCTTTAATGCCAGGGATGCAAGCTATATTCTAAATATGCCGGTAAGTGTTTGACGCCCTCGGGATGCTTGGGTATGGAAGGGGGAATCAAGGGGTGCCTATACTGTGAGATCGAGATATAGGTTGCTTATGGGTGAGTGTCAGTCTAATCGTCCGTGGAACATTATTTGGAATTTGCAAGTGCCGGCTAAGGTGAAGGTGTTTGCATGGCAGTTTGCTAATAGTATACTGCCAACAAGGGAGGCTCTTGCGGCGAAACGGGTGGCATGTATGGTTGTTTTCCATATGTGTGGAGGGGCGGATGAGACGGACTCACACTTGTTTCGGGATTGTCTCCATGCCCGAGCAGTCTGGATTGCGGTTCAGTTGCCAACACTAACGCATGACCAAGGTAATTTGATAGACTGGTTTTTTGAGTTGCTAACATACCTGAGTGATGATAAGAAGTGCAAGTTTGTAATGTTGTGTTGGGAATTATGGACAAGCAAAAATGCAACCTTTTGGCGAGGTGTGCAGTTTGATAGGGACCAAGTCTCACAGCAGGCGTTGTGTTACTGGCATAATTGGAGGGGGGTGCAGGAGGATGTTGCGGGGCACCGGGAGAATCAGGTAGGGGATTCGCGGTGGGTGCCGCCAGGAACCGGGAGGATTAAGTTGAATACTGACGCCGCTTTTGACACCGTTCGGAATAGAATGGGGTTGGGGTGGGTGTTGCGAGATGATCAGAGACAGTTTATGGCTGCGAAGAGTGTTTGTGTACTGGGCCGGTTTAGTGTTGTGGAGGCCGAAGTAATGTGCGTGCGTGAAGCTCTGACTTGGTTGCATAGTACGGGAATGGGGGATGTGGATGTGGAGACAGATTCACAACTATGTATTAATGCTTTGAACTCTGATTCTTTTTTTAATGCTTTTGATTTTGTAGTAGATGATGTAAAGCAATAGCCTCTTTGTTGAATGGGGTTAGCTTTAGATATGCTAGGCGATCTGCGAATCGTGCGGCCCATGTCCTAGCTAGGGAAGCCGTTTCTGTGTCAGGTCCCGGGAAGTGGTTAGAGGAACCCCCCAGTTATCTTGTGTTGATTGTTGCGAATGATTTAATGAATTGAGTTACGTTTTCCAAAAAAAAAAAGTATAATAAAAATCATATGTAATAATGTAATAATAATAATAATAAAATTAAATTAAAATTAAAATAATAACAATAACAATAATAATAACAATAACAACAACAACAACAACAACAACAACAACAACAACAACAATAATAATAATAATAATAATAATAATAATAATAATAATAATAATAATAATAATAATAATAATAATAAGAACAACAAAAAATGTAATAATCCAAACAAAACTATATACAAAATAAAATTAAAATTAAAAAAAAAAAATGAAGAAGACAAAGGTGGCTCCCCTTTGTAAATGATGTGGGATCATTTTGATTCCACATTGAAAATGTTTGGAAAGATGAGTTCTTAAACTCTATATAAGAGGAGCATTTACAAACATATAATTGCTTGTCCATCAATGTGGGCAAGTATTGAGAAGTCCAAAGACTTTTTATTATTATTATTATTATTATTTTAGTACTATTGACCTGATAAATTATGCTGTGGGCAAGGTAGACACGGTTCAAAAATTGTTCATAATTATTAATATATAGTTCAAAAATTATGAACATATAGTTCTATAATTATGAACATAGTGTTGTGAACGTATAATTATGTAATTATGAATATAGAAATTCAATAATTGTGAATATGAAGTTAAAAAATTATGCATATATATCTTTATAATTATGAACATATAATTCAGTACCTGTGAAGATAGAGTTCTGTAATTATGAATATAGAGTTCAATACTTATGAATATATAGTTCAAAAATTATGAATATATAGCTTTATAATAATGAACATATAGTTCAATAATTATAAACATAGAACTGTGTTCACCTTGCAAGGTGGACAGGTTCCACAACATAACTATTCGATTGACCCTGTCACATGTAAACTTTCTCAACCTATTGAAGCCCAACGTGTCAAAAGGCTCTTATTTAAGAAACCTTATCTTAATGACTTCTTATTTTATTTATTTATTTATTTTAAAATTTATTAGGGGGTTTGAGAAAGACCCCAAATTATATCGTGCACCGCGGTGCATGATCGATCATGCACCGCGCATAAAAACAACGTCGTTTTGTTTAACGAAAAGAAACATAATTTTCGCAAAAAATAACTATGTTTTTCAGTTTCATTTTGTATATAATGCAGTTTCAGTTCAACACAACTACAGTTTCATTTCGATATAACTACTGTTTCATTCAATATTTATACACTCAAATATGTGAAAATGTTATTTAATTTTATTTTATATACACTATAGTTTCATTAAAACACAACTACATGATCATTTCAATATAATTACAGCTTCATTGTACAATATACACTCAAATATGTGAAATGTTATTCAGTTTCATTTTATATATACTGTAGTTTCATTTCACCACAACTACAATATCATTTTTAGATAACTGCAGTTTCATTTGATAATATAAAAATAATACATGAGACAGTGTCGGTTTAGACACACTGTAGTGTCACTCCGTTATAATTGCAAAAACCACTAGTGGAAATTCTGAAATTTCCGACCACCTAAAATTATCTTAAATCAAGTCTTGTTCTGACCACTTTTGGCATCCGGAAAAACCCTTGTTGTTATTTCCGACCACTTTTTGCTTTCAACTTGATTTAAGATCACTTTTAGATGGTCGAAAATTCAATAATTTCCAGTAGTGAACGGCACCGTTTTGACACGCGGTGCATAATCAATTATGCATCGCGGTGCACGATATAATGACTGGAGAAAGATTAACCCAAAATATATATGAGTTGTTTTAGTTTCTAGCAGTTTGGAGCAAATTGCTAAGTTATTAAATAATATTTTTGTTGTTTTGATTAAATATAAATTGTTAAACAGACGAATTTCTTAAAATTTTGGCAAATTTACAAATAATCAAATTACAATAACAACAACAACAACAATAACAACAACAACAACAACAACAATAATAATAATAATAATAATAATAATAATAATAATCCAAACAAAATTATATACAAAATAAAATTAAAATTAACAAAAAAAAAAAAAAAAAAAAGACAAAGGCCAGCCACCGGCTCCCTTTGTAAATGATGTGGGATCATTTTGATCACACATTGAAAATGTTTGAAAAGAGAGAATTCCTCTATATAAGAGGAGCAATTATCCTCTTATAACATAATTGCTTGCCCATCAATGTGGGCAAGTATTGAGAAGTCAAAAGGTTCTTATTTAAAAAACTTTAACTTAATCTTCTTATTTTAGTTTTTATTTATTTATTATTTATTATTAGTGGGGGTTGTGAAAGATTAACCCAAAATGTATGTGTTGTATTAATTTTTAGCAGTTTGGAGCAAATTACTGATTTATTATATAATATATTTTGGTGTTTTGATTAAAGTTAAAATGTTAAAGAATTTATTAACATTTTTTCGTGGGAGGTGTAAGGTTCAAACCTCAGTTGAGGCAAATAGTGTGTATGTAGGGTATCCCCCTTCCTTATAATAAAAAAAAAATGTTAAAGAATTTATTAACATTTGTACGAATTTATCAATAATCAAATTACAAATAATAATAATAATAATAATAATAATAATAATAATAATAATAATAATAAAAAAATGATATACAAAATAAAATTAAAATTAAAATTAGAAATAATAAGAAAGAAGAAGACAAAAGGGAGTCACAGGCTCCCATTGTAAATGATGTTGGATCATTTTGATCTCACATTGAAAATGTTTGAAAAAAGGAGCTCTTGAACTCCTCTATATAAGAGGAGCAATGCTATTGCTCTTCTTACAAACATAATTGTTTGACCATCAATGTGGGCAAGTATTGAGAAGTCCAAAGGTTATTATTTTATTTTTGAGTACTATTGACCCGGCAAATTATGATGTGAAACCGTGTCCACCTTGCATGGTAGACACGGTACGAAAATTGTTCATAATTATGAATATATAGTTCTATAATTATGAACATAGTGTTGTAAACATAATTATGAACATATAGTTATGTAATTATGAATGTAGAGATTCAATAATTGTGAATATGAAGTTCAAAAATTATGAATATATAGCTTTATAATTATTAACATATAGTTCAGTACTTATGAACATATAATTTTGTAATTGGGAATATAGAGTTCAACAATTATGAATATGAAGTTCAAAGATTATGAATATATAACTTTATAATTATGAACATATAGTTCAGTAATTATTAACATAGAATTGTGTCCACCTTGCAAGGTGGACACGGTTCCACATCATAACTATTCGATTGACCCTATTACATATAATATCTGTTCATATAAACTTTCTCAACCTATTGAAGCCCAACGAGTCAAAAGGCTCTTATTTAATAAACCTTATCTTAGTGGCTTTTTATTTTAGTTTTATTTATTTATTTTTTTTAAAAAAAAATTTATTAGGGGCTTTGGGAAAGATTAACCCAAAATGTATATGTATTGTTTTAGTTTTTTTGCAGTTTGGAGCAAATTGCTAAGTTATTAAATAATATTTTTGGTGTTTTAATTAAATATAAAATGTTAAACATGCGAATTTTTTAAAATTTTGTCGAATTTGCCAAATAATCAAATTACAACAATAACAACAACAACAACAACAACAACAACAACAACAACAACAACAATAATAATAATAATAATAATAATAATAATAATAATAATAATAATAATAATAATAATAATAATCCAAACAAAACTATAGACAAAATAAAATTAAAATTAATAATAATAATAAAAAAGAATAAGACAAAGGGGAGCCACATACTCCCTTTGTAAATGATATGAGATTATTTTGATCTCACATTGAAAATGTTTGAAAAAATAAGCTCTTGAGCTCCTCTATATAAGAGGTACAAATATAATTGTTTGCCCATCAGTTTTGCAAGTATTTTGAAGTCAAAAGGTTTTTATTTAAGAAACCTTAGCTTTGTCTTCTTATTGTAGTTTTTATTTATTTATTCATTATTTATTATTTATTATTGGTGCAGTGGTGGTTGGGAAAGATTAACCTAAAATGTATGTGTTGTTTTATTTTTTAGAAGTTTACAGCAAATTACTAAGTTATTAAATAATATTTTTGGTGTTTTGATTAAAGATAAATTGTTAAAATGACGAATTTGTTAAAATTTTGGTGAATTTGTCAATCTCATTTTTTTTTTAAAAAAAATCATAAATAATCAAATAATAATAATAATAATAGTAATAATAATAATCATCATCATCATCCAAACAAAACGATATACAAAATAAAATTAAAATTAGAAAAAAACAAGAAGAATGATGTGGGATCATTTTGATCTCACATTGAAAATGTTTGGAAAGAGAAACTCTTGAAAATGTTTACAAACATAATTGCTTGGCCATCAATATGGACAAGTAGTGAGAAGTCCAAAGTTTTTTTTTTGTTTTTTGTTTTTTTTTTCTTTAGAAGTAAAGGAAAATAAAAAAATGGAAAGAAAATATTTCAGTAATAATATTTTACATCATGAAGTAGTAAAGACCTATTTTTAAAAATAGTAAATGTAAATTAAAAATGGAACGAAAATATTTCATTAATAATATTCTACACCATCAAATTAAAATGTAACGAAAATTAGGTAAAAATATCATTACATCTATATTCTAATTGACTAATTAACTGAAAATTAAAAAAAAAAATTGACTGAAAATTAAAAATTGGAGGAAAATATTTCAATAATAATATCTACATCATCAATTAAAAATGGAACGAAAATTAGGTAAAATATCACTGTATTTGATATTCTAATTAACTAAAAATAAAAAGGAATAATTGGCTGAAAATGAATCTGATATCACTAATTGACTGAAAATATAAAAGGATAACTAATTGAGTAATATTTTATCATTATATATTTTAACCCAAGTAACCCGTCTGGATGGATTGGAGGTGTTAGCTCTAGACGAAGATGAACAAGATTGTGTTGTCACTACCAATGTAGTTTACCAATCTAGATATTAGCTATTAATTTGAGAAATTATTTGCACAAATTTAATCAATGATAACATCAAAATATATAAACGATCCAAACCATATCTTTAATTGTACTATATAATATTTGATGTTCTAATTTAAATAATTATATATCTATTCATATATTCTTAATATATTACAACAAATTCATTCCGTGCATCGCACGGGTGCAAATACTAGTTAAAAATAGAACGAAAATTATTAATATTCATTTTCTTTTATATTTTTAGTCAATTAGTAATATTAGATTTATTTTTAGTCGATTATTCTTTTTTATTTTCAGACAATTAGTCAATTATAATATAGATGCAGTGATATATCTACATCATCAATTAAAAATGGAATGAAAATTAGGTAAGAATATCACTGTAGTTGATATTCTAATTGATTAATTGATTGAAAATTGAAGCAATGATAACATCAAAATTCATAAACGATTCAAACCATATCTTTAATTGCACTATATAATATTTGATGTTCCAATTTAAATAATTATACATCGATTCAAATATTCTTAATATATTATAACAATTCCATCCCGGGCATCGCATAAGTGAAAATACTAGTAATGGTAAAGAGAAAACAAAAGGTTGTAGCTAGATACTAATGCCCAGATCCGATCCAAGATACAGTAAAAGTAAAAAGTAGTAACCAAAAAAAAAAAAAAAAAAAAAAAAAAAAAAAAAAGAAAAAAGAAAGAGGCTAGCTTACACACGTACAGTAAACAAAACCGGCCTTCGAATTCATTCGCATGCGCAGCTTTAGTGATTATCATTTGCAACAAGTGATAATCTGATCGAAGTTGATGACTTGAAATATTGTGAGCAGAAATGCAAATCCTCATCAGAAGTTATAGTGATCATTTCACCTTCTTCATCTTTGTACATGAACTTTAGGACATCAGCTGCTAATTCAGGCTTTCTCTTTAAGACTTGAGCCTTCAAATTGTCCATGGTTGGATTGGGGAGCACGAACTTGAGAAGATCGTTACCAGTTTTGACTTTAACCACTGTCCACAAGCAAAATTGGGTGCCAGAAAAAGTTTTTAAATTATACAATTCAAACCCCCTTTGAAACAATTGAAAATAATAAAATGCAAGAAAAGTAACCACTTAAGAAGTCATTTTATATTATGCCTTATTGTCTCACTCCTTCCTATGGAACATGTACTTGAGTTACTTGAAAGGTGTTACGTACAAACAAATCCCAGGTAGAAAATGATAAAAATTATGAATTTTTAAATAATAAATAATAAATCATATGTCAATAACCTTGTGGTTGGGTGGCTCCTAGTTGCTCTTCTATATGAGAGGTTATGGGTTCTATTTGAGACCACATCGAATCTGTGGCATTCGGTACATTGAGAAAATAGTTATGAACAGATACTGTAACAAATCAGCGTCAACAATAAGCAAAAACAAAAAAGAACAAAAAAAATCATATATGTACCTCTCTCATATTCAGCAGTAGCAGCCACTGCCGTTAATGGGATCCAAGGCCCATGAGCAGCAGGCATGCCCCACGGAGTATACATCGCAGACTGGTCCGAAACATTCAAACCAAAATTTGCCAGGTAATCTGACTCTATCATTTGAGTATTCAGATATTCTGCCTCTGTCATTTCATCAGCAGCACTGTCAGGAACACTGGTCCCATAACCATTCTCCATTAAAAATGAAGATTCGTTGAGAATGACAGACTCTATTCTGAAGAACAGAGATAAAGTATGGTGAAATGAGTCAAATTACGACAGGAAAGACCAAATAATTCAGATGGAATTAAAATTGGAAACAAGAACGTGAAACCCATAAGGGTCAGAGAGAATATATATATATATATATATATATATATATATATATATATATAAATATAAATAAGAGGCCAAGCACTTTATCTCGACACCCGGATTGGACTCCCATATGGGAGGTTGTAAGTTCGAACTTCTGTAGAGGTGTTATTGGCTCTTATGCTTCACTACAGTGTAGTTATGAACACATTCAAAAAAATATAAAAGAGAATGATCAATTTCCAAGTCTCACCTTTTGTCTTTTTGACTTTGGAGGAAGGTTTGGGAGAAAAATAAATAAAATTCTTGGCCCACCTGGTATGCCTTTTTAATCTTTTTTTTTTTTTTGGTTTATTATAAGTAATATATGTACATACTCATATTAAGATTCAAACACTCAATATCTAACACTTTATTACTCCGTACATGCTTATCTTATTATTTTATTAGTTAATTCCATTTTTAGTCTTAAATTTATAGGTGGTAGTCCAATTTTAGTCATTCTTTATCAAAATATCCCTTTCTAGTCATAGTATTATTGTGGTATGACAATTTTTGGTTCTTTATCAACAAAATTGTTGAAATCTCATTAAATAAATGGACATTTTGATCCTTTTTTTTTAAAAAAAAAATACAAAGTGGAGACCCAATATATTTTTATTTTTTTTATTAAAAAATTCATAATTGTACACCGAAATGCCTTTGAAATTTAAAAAAAATTTAAATAATTTTGTTAATGAAGGACCATAAATGGTCATGTCACAATAATACTAAGACCAAAAATTATATATCTAAGACCAAAAGTAGAGTGTCACCTATAAATCTAAGACCAAAAAATAGAATTAACTCTTATTTTATTATAAACTATGACTAAATACCATTATAAAATAAAATATATAGAAAATTGTATTTATATTAATAAGTTTAATAAGAAGAATAATATATTGATTCATACATACATACAAATATATTATATATCATATATTATATATTATAACAGTTTTCCTCTAATGTATTAATAGAAGTTATGAAATATTTGTAAGGGTGTATTCAAAGTTTTAAAATTTTTAAAAATTTTTTAATATGAAAAAGTTTTTAAAAATTTATAAATGTTTGTCCTATAGTTTTGTATATAAGTTAATGAAAGTCTAAAAAATTCCACGGAAGACTATAAAAATTCTATAAAAATCATATAAAATTCATCACTTTAAAACTGTTTGAAAGTCTATTAAAGTCTTGATTGAATACGTCCCCTAAGATTCAAACACTCAACCTCTATTATGTTGGTAATAATGAACCAAAATCGATTTAATATCTCAAAAATAATATTTATATATATACACACGAAAATATATATAAAATATTATTAGATATATAATATCCGAAATATATATATACGCACAAATATATATATATATATATATATATATATATATATATATATATATATATATATATATATATATATATATATATATATATAACGGATCCAAAGGTTATATATACATATATATCTATGAAAAGATATACCAATATATATCAACCACAAATGGAACTTATAATCCTCAGATTATAACTCCAATCAACAAGTAGAAGGGATTTTTGCTTAGAGCATAATCCAAAGCAAGAAAGAAGGAGAAGGAAGAAATAGGAAAGTACGAGTTAGGCAAGATGTCTTTCTTTCCTTAAAACCTTATTTGTCACCTCCCAAAAGTGCTAGGAGCGTTGTGGCCTAAGTTTCCCAGGATCAAACGTATAACGGTTCGACGTCTGAGCACCCAAACGAACGAACCCGGCGAACTAGAGCACGGGCAGAACACAGTATCAAGAAAGGAGTAGGAGCAGAGTTTTGAGAAGAAAAGGTGCTTATCATTGTGTGTTGTGTGTCTCTCTTGTTCTTCCCCTCACGTTGTAAATCACTTGCTCCTACTACCCCTTCTTATATAGGAATTGGAATACTAAATAACATTTAGTTGGCATTCATGTCACGTTGGTAACATCTGAAACAGCTAGTTATTTGTGCATTCATGGCACGTTGGTAACATCTGAAACAGCTAGTCATTAGTGCAGATTTAATTCAAAATTCAAATTGGAAGAAACGACTCTGGTAGACTGAAGTTTCAGCCTTGCACTGCTGCTCGGCCGCAGGACACGAGAGTTCAACTCTTGTGCTCTTGCCAACGCATGAGAGCAGCTCTCGGCCAGGTTAGTTGGCATAACTTAGCCCGCTCGCAGGTGCCGGCGCATACGAGCTCGGGCTTGAATCAAGCCTTTTTGATCTCGTTTCTAGTTGGAATTTGATTTGCAACCCCCCCCCCCCCCCCCCCCCCCCCGCCCCCCGCGCGAGAGAGCCTCTATGCTATACAATTCTACAAGCTCCAAAAGAGCTCTTGTATAAAAAGGAGTCCTCTTTCCAAACCAATGTGGGACAAATGCTCACTTTTCCATTCATTTTTCCCACTCAATATGTCTACTTTGAGAATCAATATCTCATTCACCCATTATCCGTTTTGAGCGTACAATATATCAATCTCTTCGTCTCACTACGAAGAATCCGAATCCACTTTGACCCTACCCAAATCAGAGGTGGACCCCACTAATAATTGTACCACAAAATAGCCACTTAACATGTCATTTTATGCTATTTTAATGCTATTTTTCGAACAATCCCCCACATGAATTAAAATTAATTTCAGGGTATTTTAAAATCGGAACAATCCCCCACCAATCTCGCGATGCATACGGACCTACCTTGGCTGCTCATGGGCGACTTCAATGATCTTTTACATCAACATGACAAAAGAGGCACACACCCTCATCCAGAATGGCTTTTGAGAGGGTTCCGACATGTTGTTGATTCTTGCGGTCTCCGAGAATTATATTTTGAAGGACATCAGTTCACTTGGGAAAGAGGCCAGGGTACAACAAACTGGGTCGAGGAGAAACTCGATAGGATTATAGCGGCAGATGCTTGGTTTGAGAAGTTTGATGGGGCGAAAGCTTTTTCTAAAGGAGTTCCATCTAGCGATCATTTGCCTTTAATCCTGCTACCCATCCCAACTGCCAGAGGGTATAGAGTTAGAAAATTCCGTTTTGAAAACATTTGAATTAAGGAGAGTAATTGCAGAGAGTTGTTGCACAAGGCATTATGGATATGGGGTAAAGATTTAACTAAGGATTTCAATTCTAAGTTAGATGGATAAGGAACATGACCAGTGTAGTGTTTATTCTTTCTGTGAAGCACAACGTAATTACTTATCCACTTTGAAACTTCAAAGTGACTTCTGGAGGCAAAGAGCCAAGGTATCATGGTACAAAGAAGGCAATGCCAACACAAAATTCTTCCATAATGTGGCCCGTGGCAAAAAGAACACAAACAGAATTCTCAAGCTCATAGATGATCACGGGGTATGGAGACATAAGTGTCCGGATCTTCATAAGCTCATCTCATCTTATTTTCAGAACATGTTTGCTAGCAACCCAGGGGAAACAGATATGGTTACTAATTGTTTATGCCCGAAAATCACCAGTAGCCAAAACACAGCCATGTTACGGAGAGTATCCCATGATGAGGTCAAGTAAGCCGTCTTTAGTATGTAACAAGATAAATCTCCAAGGCCTGATGGATTCAATCCGGGCTTCTTCTAAGCATACTGGGACATTCTAGGAACTGACCTGGTTCACCTATGCAACTCTGTTATTGTGGCAACTCAAAAATTATTTTCCTAAATTCTATTTTATAAATTCCAAAATAATTATTTTTACTCCTTTGAAATTTTTTCTAAAACAGGTGTATGAATTAAATATTTTAAATCGTGATTTTTATTAATTCAACACCAAGTAGTAGTCTGTTTCGAAAAATCCTAAGTTTTGAGTATATCTATGTATCAAGTTTTTATCCAAAAAGTCAATATGAGTGAAACCTGAGAGGAACCTGTGAAATTTGAACCAAATATTTTTATCTAGAAACATTCTTATAAGAAACTCATTTTATCTCCCAAGATTGTATAAACCCATTTTAATATTATAATCTAAGCCAAAAGAGGGATCATGATATTTTTAAAAACCAATTTACCAAAACACCCTCATCAGCCAACATTCTTACCTAGGGTTTTGAGCCAATATAAATAGAACACTATTCATCAGATTACTTTCAATCCCTCCATTTGCCTCTTTCACTCCAAGCTAAGACATTTGAGAAAAAGAATAGAAAGCACAGTAAGTATCTTCCTTCATTCATCTTCATCTTCCTCCATTCATTTCCATCTTCTGATAGTATTCTTTCCTCCAAGCTTTTCATCCTCTTCATCTGGCATTAAATGTTTAAGATTATGATGAGTGTTGTATGTGTTTATGTTTGTCTGAGGAAAATAGGAAGTGAAGGTGGAAATCTCTATTGAAGAAAGGAGGGATTCACATTAGGAGTAACCAAGCTCAAAGGTATAAACCATGGATTCCCAAAGCTATTATTTTAGCCCTATAATGTTAGATTTCTTGAGAATAGATGCTTAGAAATGATTGAGAATGCTTGTTGATAAGTTTATTGTGCTTTGCCACCGCCGGCGCTCTACGCCCGGTCGGCATCTTTGCCACCCCTAGCGCTCTACGCCCGGTTAGGTTGGCATAGCCACCACCGGCGCTCTACGCCAGGTCGGCATAAGTATAGTTTGATGCGTCGACATCATGAGATCAGTCGGGTCATTTCCCGATCGCAATCTAAGTTGCAAAGTAAACTTGGGAAATTATCGTACCTACTCCCTTAGGTTGACAGTTCCCGCAACTAAGGGAGTGGGGGGCTACACTTATAAGGTTGTAGAGCACGCTCTCTCGGCCTGTGGAGCTCGAGCACTGAGGTGCTTCTCGATCAAAGTAACCTTCACGGTCTCGCTATCGTTAGACCATCAGGTCTTCTAGTGTTAGATCGATAGAAATTCGGTCTCTTAGATCACACAGCAAAATCAATCCCATGATTGGTAAAGCTAGATCTCCCGATCGCAATTAACGACCTCTCGGTCGTCCCTAGAAACCCGGTCGATAAACCGGTAAAGTAGACCTCTAGATCACAGCTAACCCGATCTCCCAATCTTAGCTAGCTTCCCGGCCGCTCGATCGGTAAAGGTTCGACCTCTCGGGCCGTGTTGCAAAACCGGCCCCTAGGTCGGGCAACCCCCTTTCTTTTTTAGTCCAGCAGACTGCGTTTAGCGTTGTGCTCTTTTTTCCTTAGCTAAAATTTTTTCCCACTGGGTTTTTTATTAGCTTAAGGTTTTTAACGAGGCAACCGGCATAAGTCATGGACCGTATAATAAGTTTTTCAGCCCGAACCCTTCCTCGCTAACTCATTGTCAGGGCACAGACTGGGGGGGGGGGCTTCATGATGGGAAATATACCTCGGGTTCAGGCTCCCCGTACGCTCCGTGCTCCTATTTGGGTCGGGTCAAACGGTTCGGATCAAGGCCAACGGGTCAAGGTCAAACCTGACTTGGTTTGACCTATATAAGGGCATTTGACCCTTCATTTTAGGGGGGCCTTCCCCTCTTCCTCCCTACACACACACACACACACCCGGCTAGGCGGCCGACTAGGCCGCTTAAGCGCCGCCTAGGTCGCCTAGGCGTTGATCGCCTAGGCTTCCTAGGCACCGACTAGGTCGCCTAGGCACTGACTAGGTCGCCTAGGCACCGACTAGGTCGCCTAGTCAGCCGATTAGCTATTGTTTCGTTCTTTTTTAAATGAGTTATTTCACTCAAAACGATGTGTTATTTTGAGCGAAATAACTCTAAATTGTTCAAATTATGTTTTTTTGGTTAATATTTAATATTTTAGTATTAAATATTAAAATATTAAATAGTTTATAATTATCAAGTTCTAAAAAATTGTGAAAATATAAATATTTTTTTAAAAAAATAAAAAATAAAATAAAAAAATACACGGGCGCCTAGGCGCCGATTAATCCTCGCTTAGGCGCCCTAGGCGCTAGGCGCTAGGCGCCTCCCGAGCGCCCGAGGAGCGCTTAGCGATTTTTTCAACCATGGTAAAAGGTATATTTTCTTTATTCCCAATAGGCTTAGGACTCCAGTTTAGGCAAGAGTCCACGATCCATGGTGGACCACATTAATTAATTAGAGGGAATCCTAATCAAATTAAATCCTTTCTAATTATTATTAATGAGATTAATTAAATAATGAATTCAGGATTAAAGGCCGTAACACGGGATGTTATAGGGTGTGTATTCCAAAAACTGGGCAGGTGGTTGATGGCATGCAGATAACGGCTTCTTGGATCCCACTAATGGAAAATGTGTTGAAATGTAATGTAGATGCTGCAATTTTCATGGATGGAGCGGGTTATATATGGTGCGGTCGTCAGAACCACGCTGGGAAGTTTGTTGTAGCGCGTTGTGCCCCGCTCGAATGCGGTCGTCACCCTCTTCTAGCTGAAACCATGACGGTGAACGAAGCGCTTTCTTGGTTGAAGTCTTGCGATTTTAGTAATTTAATTATTGAAACTGATTGTCTTATGTTTTGTTCTAGTTTTAATTCGTACTTTTTGGACTTTTTGTATGCGGGTTTGATAGTTAAGTAATGTCTTGATATTGCTAGTGACATTGAGAACATGTCTGTTCACCATGTCAAGTAGTCAGGAATCATGTGGCTAATGTTTTGACACGAACAACTGGTTCTTCGTCTGTCCTAGATAATGGCGAATGTACATGGTAACTGTAGGGGCATTGCCCCCCCCCCCCAAAAAAAAAAAATCTTATTAATAGTATATATTTCGAATGTATATGGTCATTCCAACCCCCCCCCCCCCCCCCCTCCCGCCAAAAAAAAAAATCTTATTAATAGTATATATATATATATATATATATATATATATATATATATATATATTTATTTATTTATATATGGCCCCCCTCACCAAAGCATTTGTCCCTTCTAATCACATATTTCTTGTTCTTTTTTGTTTTCCAATTCATTTTTCTTAAATTAATGACTTTTTTCCTTATTAATCCACACTTGATTTAAATTTGTTTAAAGGGTTTTGACATCAAATTATGCTGTGGAACCGTGTCTACCTTGCAAGTGAACACAATTCTAAAATTGTTCATAATTATAAATATATGGTTCAGAAATTATGAACACATAGTTCTATATATAATTATGGACATAGAGTTGTGAACATAATTATAAACATATAATTCTGTAATTATGAATATAGGGATATAGAGATTCAATAATTGTAAATAAGAAGTTCAAAAATTATGAATATATAGCTTTATAATTATGAACATATAGTTTAGTAATTATGAACATAGGGTTCTGCAATTGTGAATATAGAGTTCAATAATTATAAATCTATAGCTTTATAATTATGAACATATAGTTCAGTAATTATGAACTTAGAATCGTGTCCACCTTGCAAGGTGGACACGGTTCCACAGCATAACGATTGAGTTTTGACAATGTTTATAGGTGAACTATCCATATTTAAGAAATGTTTGATCTTTGATGAATGGTTTGTTAGTAACAATGTTTAAAGACTACACTTCGTAATAAGATGGAAGATGGATTTCTTAATGATTGTTTGTTAGTATACATTGAAAAATAATTTAGTATAGATTCAATTATAGATGATTTTTGTAACATGCAAGAAAGACGTTCTAAATTGTGATTGCCCCCTGCACAAACAAATTATGGGTCCGCCCCTAGTCCTAGAGTCATGACTATCTGTTCCACCGGCCTATATTTCACTTTTGGTTGATTATTAATGCAATTGAGTTATTACCTTTCAAAAAAATAATAATAATAATTAGATACTCTCTTTATAGGGGATAGCTAGGCTTTTAAATAAGAGAAGAAAAACATTAATAAGGTTCAAGTAAAACATCAAATACTTAAACATTACATTCACTTAAAAGACCACAAAAAACACATAATAGCACAAGCCATAATAGCAGTAGCTTGGATTTAAACATGGGAAGTAAAAGACCACAAAAAACACATAATAGCACAAGCCATATAACCATAATAGCAGTAGCTTGGATTTAAAGATGGGAAGTGCAGCGGCAATGGATTCGTTCAAATTGAAAGAGACAATGTGACTGGTGTTGTTCCTGTGGACTTGAAAAATTCCAAGCAATAATGCAAATCCTCATCACAAGCTATTGTCACCATTTCCTCATCTTCGTCCTTGTACATGATCTTAAATTTTGCAGATTCCAACTTATTGAATCTCTTTAGGATTTCTGCCTTCAAACTATCCATAGTTGCAAAAGGAAGCAGGAACATCACAGTATCATTGTTGTATCCCACTTTAACCCACACTCTACTATTGTCATCCATTGTTGTATTATTATGAGATAACATAAAATTTTCCATCCATTGTTGTATTATCTGTAGTTTTGGCTGCAGCTTCCTCACTCCTCCAACATACTCATTATTGTTGTCCTTCCTGAGGAGGGCAGTTCTTCTGCAGCAGTTTACCTTATGTTTCCCAACTTCAGCTTCATTTGTAGAAGAATAATTTGAAGCCCAGGCAAGAGTTTGTACTGCCAGAAATATTATTAGGCTCAGGAACAATGTATGCATCTCTGCAAGTTTTAACTCTTGGATGCAGGGGGGAATATATGTTTTCTTTTCCAGGGAGCTTTTCAGAAAGACTTTACAGATCACCCATTCATTCTGGAAATTAAAACAAACAAACACATAGACAGGCAATTTTCAAAATAGATCAGAAGAAGAAATTAAAAATGAAATCTTAGCTTGATCAAGAAATTAAATTATGGCCCAGTTTGGTAACATAATTAGCTTATCGGTCAATATTGACTTATTTGATCACTATTAGCTATTTGACTTGTTAAAAAATCAATATGAATATTTAATTAATTAGCTTTTTGTAACAACTTATTGTTTCAAAATGTTAAAATTTAAAAAAGTCATTTTTAAATTTCTACAATCAGTTAATGCTATCAATTAGTACAATTAGCTAACATCTATATATAATACCTACCTTAGCAACTTGAGGAAGAGAAAGAGGATGTTTTGAAAGTTCATGTGCTGGAAGTTGAGGAAGTTCTGAAAGTTCAAGTGCTGGAAGTTGAGGAAGTTCTGGAAGTTTGTGTAAGGAGTTGTCGCCCTCCAATCTGTATTCATGTTAAAATAAGACTTAATTTATTCAAAATAAAAACATTTGCAATACATAAATAAAATTAAATTAATGTTAATAATTTTTTTATTATTTTTTTTATAACGGTCTTATTATGGATGATTGTAATCATTTGATTAACTCTTTTAGAAATGTCTTTTTTAACTATGTTCATAGATTAACGAATCGTATTATTTACTCTAGAATGATTGTTGGATTATCAATTTGGTTTAGGGATTTGGCTCTCTACGCATCCTTCTCGTATTTGTAATTTTTTTTTTTTATGTTTATTAATGTATTATTTATCCTTATTTCAAAAAAAAAAAAAAAAGTTAATTCTACGTTTTGGTTTATACATGGTTAAATTAGTTTATAAATTTATAGGAAATTATACTTTTTAACCCCCAAGTTATGAAAGTGTAAGTTTAGTTATTATCTATGATGGATTATAAATATGATTATTTTTTTTACGGGAAAAGGTAAATTGTACTAAAAAAATAAATGAAATACAAATACGGGCATACCGCGACACCACATACTCATTATTGCTACTACTGCCGTTTCTGCTGAGGATGGATCTTCTGCAGCAGTTTACATTATGTTTCCCAACTTCAGCTTCATCAGCAAGAGTTTGGGATGCCAGAAATATTAAGTTCATGAGCAATGTATTCTGAATCACTGGAAGTTTCAAGTCTTGGATGCCGAGGGGAATATATGTTTTCTTTTCCAGGAAGACTTTACAGATCACCCATTCATTCTGGAAAACAAACAAAATAGATAAGAAAAAAGAAATTAAAAATGAAATCTTAGCTTGATCAAGAAATTAAATTATATATATACTACCTACCTTAGCGTTTTGAGGAAGTTTTGGGATCATATGTAGGTAGTTGATGTTCACCAATCTGTATTCATGCATTAACCAGTCTGTCCTTTCACCACTGGGTGGTCTCCCTCTGTAAAAAATCAGAGTTTTCTTCATCCCAACAAGGGATTTCCCCTTCAAAATCTCTTTGTCACTTCCTGTGGTTTCCCAATAGCCTTTGCTCACTGAATGAGTAGCTCTGTCTATTCTCTGCCCCGTGGCATCCTTCATATCCCTCCGACTGAAGAAAAACCATTCTCTCTTACCCACACAAACACCGGGGAGCAAATCCCAGGGTTCCAACCTGTTCAAATCCCACTCTTCAATTGCTCCTGCGAAGAAGCTAGGATCCGCAATCTTTCTCCATAAGTAGTTAGTTATGAGCTCTTCGTCTGTGGGATGAAACCTATAACCCAGAGGAATTCTTATAGAATCGCCGGAATCTTTCTCTACCGACGACGATTCCACAGAATCGTGGGAGCCACAAAATCCGGACATTTTTTCTTTTGGCCTTGAGAGCAATTTTCTTCCAAACCTGAAAGAATTTGGGGGCTTGGATGCACCCAAGCCGTCCAAGAAATTTATGCAGCTAAGTCGACCAAGAAATTTTCTTTTTCTGCTACTAATATAAACAGTTAAACACTCAACAAGTAAAACCACCTTGTGCTTTAGTGATATAAAGTGACTCTCCGAATAAAAAGTTAGAGGGGGTATTAGCTCTTTATATTTCGATAACTTGAGAAAGTATATTACATTATAACGGAGTCAATAGTACTCAATATATATATATATATATATATATATATATATATATATATATAATTAGGTACTGGTGCGGTTAGGTTGCTTAGGTGCAGTTGTGCGGTTTAATCTGGGCCATTCATCTCGCTTAAATCAATGTCCAGGATTATCAAAATTTTAAAAAAAAACGTGGTGGCAATTTTGTAATTTTTGTATTTAGGTCAACATTAATGTGAGCGGTTCTGTGATTAATGTGCGTGAGTTTTGTATATAATATGCGTGTGTGTAATATTTAAAGTGCGTGAGTTTTGTGCTTAATGTGCGTGAGATTGTGCTTAATGTGTGTTGGATGAAGAAGCATGCAGTACGTCTAAATGACCAAAAGCGTCTACCAAAACCAAAAGCGTCTACCAAAAGCGCGTCTTCTTGTCCAACAATGTGCGTGGATTTTGTACTTAATGTGCGTGAGTTTGTACTTAATGTGCGTGGATTTTGTACTTAATGTGCGTGAGTTTGTGCTTGTTGGATGAAGAAGCATGCAGCACGTCTAAATGACCAAAAGCGTCTACTGACCAAAAGCGTCTACCAAAATCAAAAGCGTCTACTGACCAAAAGCGTCTACCAAAACCAAAAGCGTCTACCAAAACCCACGCATAAGCACAATCCAACAATGTGCGTGAGTTTTGTGCTTAATGTGCGTGGGATTTTACTTATTGTGCGTGGGTTTTGTACTTAATATGCGTAAGTTTGTGCTTAAGATCTAACACTTAAGGTGCGTGGCTTTCTTCCAAATACGCATTTTTTTTTTTAATTTTCATTGATTTGAGCCGTTGATTTAGATTTGATCAACGGCTCAGATCTAACCGCACAACCGCACTGAAAACTATATCCGCACGAGAACCCTTCCCTATATATATATATATATATATATATATATATATATATATATATATAAATTTTTTCGTACTAGCTCTAAAAACTATTTTTCGCCCCTTAATTGGGCTAGTTGGGTACAAAAAGGGATTATTCTTAGTATAGTATAATGGCAAATTATGCTGTGCAATCGTGCACCATGCATGGTGCATACGGAATTAGATCTATAATTTCTATACTATAGATCTATAATTTTTATACTATAGATTCATAATTTCTATACTATAAATTCATAATTATTAAACTCAATATTCATAATTACAAAACTCTATGTTCATAATTTTCAATGTTCATATTCTCAATTGTTGAACTCTGTATTCACAAATCACTGAACTATATGTTCATAATTTGATAACTATACAGTTTAGAAATTATGAATCTACAATTTAGAAATTATGAATATATAGTATAGAAATTATGAATTTATAGTATAAAAATTATGGATCTATATTATAGAAATTATGGATCCAATTATGTGTGTACATTGCATGATGCACACGGTTGCACAGCATAACGCTCCTAGTATAATGTAGCATGTTCTGATTGCTTAATATAAGGGGATCACGTTTTTTATCCAATTTTTTTTTCCTCTAATAACAATTGAACACTTACTTGAGTATAATAGTTGGGAGTATGTTTTTGGATTTCAAGTACTATTTTTGTTTCTTATATTATTTAGGGTCTATTCATGATACATCGTAGTCTAACTAAAAAAAAATTATTCTTTTAATTTTTAGGTAAATTAGAAGCTCCAAGATCTCACTCTACTACTGAAGTGTTGAGATCAGGTGATTGACCACTTGACCCAGCAGGACGCCAAAATATATTCTTCTTCGTGGATTGTGTATTATTCTTACTCAATAATAATAATAATAATAATAATAATAATAATAATAATCTATACTATATACTATATATAATAACAAAATCCTGAAATTTTAACTTCCCGCCTAATTCCTAAAATATCTCTCTTTTTCCAATAAAATATATTGATTTCTACTTTCCCATTCGTACAATAATTCCGGGTAAAAATTATATTCTAAAATTTTAAAATAGTTTAATACAATTCTCTTTGCACATCTATACTATATATAATAACAAAATCCTGAAATTTTAATTTTCCGCCCAATTCCTAAAAAATCTCTCTTCCTAATAAAATATATTGATTTCTACTCTCCCATTCGTATAATAATTCTGGGTTAAAGTTGTGATGTGTCAAAAGTTCGGCAAGGCATAACTTTTGACTCGGTTGTCCGTTTTGGACAAATGTTCTTTTTTGAAATCGCGTATTTTTTCGAGATCTATCAACCGCAAACTGTCGTAGGCGGTTTGGCCCACCAATTTCTAAAAAAATGCTTTATTAAATAGTTTCTAAGAAAAAACTATGAGAACCTTATGTTTTATTAATGAATTTTTAAATTTTTTAATTAAAAAATTGTCCCGTGCATTATTTAATAATCTCTCTGTATAATAATAATCTCTCTGTATAATTGGTCAAATTATTTAATTATGATAAATTAGGGAATAATTAATGATGGTAATAGAAATCCTAGAAGACTATTAGAATTGAAGAATATTTAATTATTGTTATATTATTATTGTGACTCACGGAATACAATACAAGAATATTTAATTATGATTATATTATTATTGTGTGTCTCCCGGCCATTATATACTAACAAAACTTGAAAAGAAACTAATAATAATAATAATAATAATAATAATAATAATAATAATAATAATAATAATAATATAATAATAATAATAATAATAATAATAATATAATAATAATATAATAATAATAATAATATAAGTGGTAAAAATAATATCTAAAAGTAATTAAGTGTTAATAATAATAGTAAAAATATTAACGTAAGAATTATAACATAGAATAAATCGTAATAATTAATAACTATAGTCTAAGATTAAATTTGAAATTGTTAGGAAAGATAAACGACCTCGGGTGAAATTAACTCTTTATCAATTTAAATATTCTTAATATATTACAACAATTTCATTCCGTGCATCGCACGGGTGAAAATACTAGTAACAATAAAATTAGCATCTTCATCGTAAAAGTAGCGAAATGTACCACTTGAAACTGTTTATTAGCATCTTCATCTTGGACTGATTTTTTTTTTTCTTTCTTTACGCGTTTTGATCATTTTTGAGTGTGTGAGCGGTATAGACAATTTAGTCAAAGAGCTTTTGCTTTACAGCTTCAATGTCTATCTGTTTGTTTTTTCTTTTACTTTTTTGTTTTTGAAATTTTTTTTCTTTTACTTAATTATTGCTTTACTTCTTTTCCCAAATTATTGCTTTACTTACCGCCATTCAACGGTGTATTTAGTTTACCGAAAAGAAAGGAATATAAATACTTATTTCTGTAATTTGATTGTTGAGAAAAAATTGTATGTTATGAATAATTAATAAATAAACTAAATTTGGTTGATGTGAGTAACCATACACTTTCACATTTTAAGAGATGAAGAAAGTTTCACGGTGAACATTGATTCTATTATTTGATTGACTTTGGAAATAAGTATAGAGACAATTACACTCCTATTATACAATAATAACACTAATAATAATTAAGAGAAGTTGATGAGGGCATAATTGTCCTACTTGTTTTCTATGGAAAACATTGTCTATGAAAAAGAAAATATCAAGGGGAGCAATGGAAAATGTTTTCCATGAACCATCCTACACAATAATAACAATAATGGTAATTAAGAAAAGTTGGTGATGACATAATTGTCCTACTTGTTTTCTATTGAAAACATTGTCTATGAAAAACAAAATATCAAGGGGACCCCTGAAAAATGTTTTCCATAAACCAAACAAAGAAAAAATCACGGTGACTCATTGGCTCAGCACACAAGTTCAAATACATACTTGTGTGCATAAATGATCTGCCCACTTTGAACATAATTTTAATTACATTGCCGCTGCTAATATTCAAACTTTGATCTCTTTTCTAAAATATTGCCTACTAAGTTAAGCTCATGCGAGCAATTAAAGGTTGATAGTTGTAAAGACTATCGATCAACTTCCAATATATAAAAGGTCACAAGTTTAATTGTTTGTGACACAAAATCTTCTTAGTAAAGAGCTATTGTAGCCATTTCTTGATCTTCATAACCAAGTTGGTAATACCATTAACTTAGTAATCTGACAGATTTTACTCCTAGCTATGGCAACTTAACTTTGGCTGAGAAATACCATTGTCTTTCGGAGTTTGCTAAAGAATTAAACACTTTGATCTTTGGAGGGATATGGAGTTTCCATACAGCTAAGCAGTGGCCATTCTAACTAACAGATCTCTGTATGATAATTCTTGGACAAGAGTTGTGTAGCAACTCTTTACAGGGATCGGAATGGAAGCTACCCCTCAACTCAGTATCCTGAAGAATAATAAGTAGAACGGCCGGAATCTTTAAAAATCAGAAATGTTCTTTACCGGTGGCAATTCTATTCTCCACCGGCGGCATCCTGCTTAACTCCTCAGCTCGTTGCCTTGCCTTGCCGTTCAATATCACCGGCCAGCAGCAATACCATTCAATTCTATACCTCAACTGCCATACCTACATCGTATCAATAGCAGTCTTGGGCGGCGGCCGCAGCGTCGTAGGCGCGTCCTCCAACGCTCCGATTTTCTGCACTCTCCCAGCCTTCGGGTTAGAAGCTCGATCGGGTTGCAGCGCGTACCGGAGCTTTGCAAACCTGGATGACTCTTTGCCTGTAAGTCGCCGGTGGCCACAACCCGCACCGGAATTGCAGTGCAGTGGGTATCGCCGCCGGATCGGAGCCTCGGTTCCGGCTCCCAATAGAATCTTTTGCTATCAACCTGTTTACTTTTCGAAAAAAATCTAGTGTGGTCCCTTCTGGCATATTCGCTCCTTTGCTGTCGACAACCGGCGGTCTGACAACGGTGGCCGGAATTTCCGTTATCGGTGATCCAGATCGTGTTTAGGTTCATCAAGAGTTAGTCCGCGAAGCGGGTTGTGGTCGACGGAGTTGAGCGTTCTTGGATGGTTGACTGTCGGAAACAGTGTGGCCGGCGGTTGTCGTGCTCCGGGGTGTTTGCGGTGGTGTAAAAAGTAGGAGCTTGCATTCTGTGATAAATTGATAAATTACATTTTAAAAATTACAATTAAACTATAGAGTAGCATTTAAACTATACATAGTCGGGTATAATATATCCATTTTTTTTTCCCAAAAGGTTAAATTCCCAACCCCAAGGACCCGACATAGTAACATCTGGAAGACTTGATCTCGCGTCATTATATACACGGTAACAACTGAGTTGCATATGTGAGAATAATACACCATTACACCCATTTTGTCAAGGTATGTGATTGAATTCTCGAGAAAAAGGCATTGAGAATACCCTTTTATGTAAGCATGTGCAACGGACAGGTTCGGACGGTTCGAGTTCACGAAAGGCTAATTCGTTCAGATTTCGGATACCATATTCGAACATCTATCCGCTTATTTTCTAACATAAATCTGTCGGATATTCTTTCGAATTACCGATCGAATATTCGACTAAACCGTCAGATAGTTCGGTTATTGATGATAAAAGTGTAAGTGCAAAAATAATAAATTTATTTAATTAAAAGAACTGATTTTTTAAACTTAACTACTAAAATATAGAACTACTTAAGTAGTAAGACTCTTCACAAGTTCACAATTACAAATTAAAATTTACATTCCTAACTTCAAAACATAAAATGATAAATGATAATTGATTAATTGATACATATTACATACTAACGGACTAAGCACTAAGTATTAAGCAATAAGCATACAAAAATACAAAAGGCTGAATTTCAGACATTAAATCCATAAGCTCCAAGCCTCCAAAAGTCCAAAGTCCAATGTCCAAAGTTCAAGCCACCAATCCTCAGCAGTCACCAATCAGCCAGCCAGCATTCAGCAATCAGCATTTACAAGTCCACAAAAAGAATACCAATAGACCACTATATCTCTATATTGAAATACCCTAATAATATGATAATAACCTATTTGACTATTCCTCTTCTTGATAAGTAATAACACAAAACTTTGATAAGATTTAAAATATTTAAATTTTAAACAATTAAACATGAATGACAATATGACATGAATACATTATACATGATAGATAATTTATATAGAGTGCTCTGATTGTTATTTTTCCAGATCAACTAAGAATTGTGGGAAATTGCTCAATATAAGTATGGCACAAAACACCATACTACATAGGCAACATGCCAAACCCAATTCTATATATTCAGAAGAGTTAATGAACGATTTGGTCCCTCAATTATTAGCAAAATGTCAATGTAGTCCCTCAATTGTGTATTCATCGATTTGGTCCCCGAAAACAATTATTTTTAGTCAATTTAGTCCCTCAGGTCGTCTTCCGTCGACGGCCGGAGGGACTAAATCGACTAAAAATAATTATTTTCGGGGACCAAATCGACGGTTGGAGGGACTAAATCGTCTAAAAATAATTGTTTTCTAGGACCAAATCGATGAATAAGCAATTGAGGGACTACATTGATAGTTCGCTAATAATTGAGGGACCAAATCGTTGATTAACTCTATTCAGAAAACATGGTGGAAGCATCATCATTGCACAAGGGGCCAAAGACAATTAAGTAATTAACAATAACAGAGATATGGAGACAGGAGAGAAGTGAAGACATACACATTACCACTTTACCAGACACCATTCATCATTCAGGTGCCAAAGACAAAAAGGATTACTGAATGTCTGAATCAGTGATAGCTGAGCTCAAATGCTCAATGGCAGCAACATTTAAAATGTCACCAAGCCATTGAACACTTTCTATTTCTCAGCCAAGGAATGAGGTCCTGAGGGACATTGATATTTGAAACACATACACTGTAACACTGATACAGTCATACAGACATATCGCATAATAATCATTGATAAAATATCAAAATAAATACAGAAATGCTTTATGGAATATAAATTCAGAATGATTGATTGCATAATTGAATATATAAGTATATAATCATACAGGTATTGTAGGCAATGATCCAACTCCAGTGGTGGATGTGTTGCACAACTCTGCAAAAAACAAACAAAAAAAACACACACACACACACACACACACAAGTGTAAGTTAAAAGAAGTATTAATTTATACTACATAGTTATAACTTATAAGTTAAAAAATGTAAATTTTAGAGATTTACCTTTCTCAATCCTTTCAACATCTTCAATATTTTCTTCAACAGAGATTGGTTGATTGGCTAACCTCAACCAATCCTGTGCACACACAAGTGCCTCAACAATCTTAGGAGTTTGGGAACTCCTAAAGGCATCTAGTACCATGCCACTGGTACTGAATGCTGATTCAAATGCAACAGTAGAGATTGGAACAGCAAATACATCCCTTGCCATTTTAGATAACACAGGGAACCTATCAGAATTCAGCTTCCACCATCTTAGAAGGTCAAAAGAATCCTCATCATCCACAATGACCTCAGACAAATACACCTCCAACTCAGTTTTTTTCATTGACAAATCAGCACTACCCAATTTTTGTTTCTTAATCTGGGATCTCAATAATGCTTGAGGTTTCCCAACAGAAACAGAATCAGAAATTATAACTAAAGGGGCTGATTTGTCAGAATTTTCAGGAACAAACTGGACATGAAAACAGGCAACATAATCTTGAAATAACTCCTTAAGGCCAACAACAACAACCTCATCAAACATTGTTTTACCTTTGTCCTCACCATATAACTGGGTAAACAGAATGGACATATATTCTATTTTGTCCCTGGGGTCTAAGATATTTGCATAGAATATGAGAAAGTTCATTTTTTTAGGCTCACCCAATATGAATGGACATTCATCATCATCATCACCATCATCATCATCATCATCATCATACCCTTAGGTCATTTTAAATGTTTATTTAAACAACTAATTTTTTTAAAAATCTTTTTACCAATCGTTGATATAATTCGCTGGTCAAATCCGCTATCGTTAACCGCTAATTGCTGATTGTCAAATAAGGACATTGCGAGGTAGTTAATATAATTGGCTCAACCTATAATTTGTTGTGTGATTTGAATATTCTCTTTGTCAACAAATCCCTCAAGTAGTTAATATAATTGGCTTTATTAATTTAAATTTTTTAAAAATTTTTCATGATATTAATAAAATACTTGGTAAATAAATATATAACATTATTTTGTATTATAACTTTTCTATTTAATTAAAAATAGTGCACAAAAAAGATAATAGACAATGTAGTGAATATAATCAATTGATGAATTTGAAATTTGAATGTAAAGAATTTTTACTTGGAGAAATATTAAGACAATATAACTAATAAAATTATGTCTCTTAATTAATTTATTGATAATGAATAACTTTTTTTTTTTTAGTAAAGACATTGTAGGGACAATGTAGTGAATATAATCAATTGATGAATTTGAATGTAAAGAATTTTTATATTTGAGAAAAATAAAGATAATATAACTAATGAAATTATTTCTCTTATTTAATTTATTGATAATGAATAATTTTTTTTTTGAATAAAGACATTGTAGACACATAATTCTAAATTAAAGAAATGCATATGTATTATTTTTGTTATAGCTACTAAATTATTATTTAATTATTTAATTTAATAAGAGTAAAATAGAATACTAATTATGCCAACTTTGATTGGATTGGGGTTCGAACCTAAGACCTTTCTTATTGAAATCAATGAGTAAGTTAATGGTGAATTAACAGAAATTAACGGAAAAGATAATATTTAACAGAAAAGTTAACGAATAATCATATTCATTAAGGATGAATTAGGAAATCTTAAGGAAAAATTAAAATTTGATCAATCTGAGCTATTCATTTGATTAAAAAATTTGACCGCCATTTTTTCTATCCATTATATGCTTAACTCTTCTGGGCTCTTATTAGTATAGTAAATTATTCAAATTTTATATCTTTAAATTTTGTGCTCATGATGTTGTTTTAATTCTTACAATTTATTTTATGATATGACCTTTAGCTTAATAATACGTTTATTTCTAGCATGCTGTTCTTGTTTAATTATTATACATTAAAAAGCATGTTTTAACACATAAGTGAATTAAATGTATACTTCATCATGTTTAAAGTCTTACTCATAGGTGAGTGTTGCATATTGGTATGTATCCCAATAGTTATGTTGTGCAACCGAATGCACCATGCATGGTGCATACGATGCAAAACGACGTCGTTTTGATTAAAAACGCGCATTCCACTTAAAATAAAATTCACGTTCGATTCTCGACAATAGCATAATTGTGGATATATAGTTATGAATTTCTGGATATATAGTTATGAATTTCTGGATATATAGTTATGATTTTCTGGATATTTAATTCAATCATTGTGGATATTTAGTTCATTCATTGTGGATATTTAGTTCATTCATTGTGGATATTTACTTCATTCATTCACAATGGATATGTAGTTATGAATTTATGGATATATAGTTATGAATTTCTGGATATATAGTTATGAATTTATTGATATATAGTTATGAATTTATGGATATTTAGTTCATTCATTGTGGATGTTTAGTTCAATCCTTGTGGATATTTAGTTCATTCATTGTGGATTTTTACTTCATTCATTTACTGTGGACATATAGTTATGAATTTATGGATATATAGTTATGAATTTATGGATATATAAAATTGCTATTGCCGGGAATCGAACCTGATTTCTTTTTTAAGAAGGACGCTCGTTTTTTAACCAAAACGACGTCGTTTTTGCATCCGTATGCACCATGCATGGTGCACACGGATGGTGCATACGGATGAACAGCATAATTTGCCTATGTATCCCCTACCAATTAAACATTTAATGTGAGAAAATACATAAATTGAGAAAGTTTTTAGAAGAGATCGGAATACTAGGCCTATGACATTCGTTTAAAAATCTTAACTTCTGCCACTGGGTGCTTTCTCCGATGATGACTAAACTTTGAAATGGATTCTAAATAGTACCACCCCATAAAAAGGATTTCCTTTTGCCTTGTTATGTAATAGTATAAAAAGGATTTATATTTGCCTTGTTATCCTTGTTATCTAATAGTATAAAAAGGATTTATATTTGCCTTGTTATTATTTAAAAAATCCGCCGCATACGTGATGATTTTATGATGATAAGAAAATGATTAGTTCATGAATTATATAATATGATAAGAAAATGATTAGTTCATGAATTATATTATTGTGTAATTATATTGATTGATTAGTAATGATATATTTATTATAATATTATAATCATTTAATAATGATGATGTACTATTTTGAAAAAATTACATATGTAAAAATAATTGATGGTATTGTATACATCAAATTGATCTCAATAACTCAGTCATTAATACATGCTTGAATTATGAATTATTCATCCATGATATTTAATGGTGTCTGCAAGTGAAAGAATTTATGTTAAAAGTCAAAAATTCACTACAACTTTAACTAAGTTAAATTGCATATATGTATTAGTACATGTGTGTATCATGTCGTGAACAAGTGTCACACCTGGTTGGCCGGATCACTCTTGTTGTTCGACGGGGCATTTGCTGGTTTTGTTCATCTTGGTTACCACCTTGACTCGAGGGCTCTCCCCTTTGAAGTTGCATTATTGGGTGGTCATAAGGAATTACGTTGTACATTGGACGAGGTTCATAATTTTGAGCTTGAGGATGGACATGTTGATAAGATGACCCCTGTTCTGTCGGATCGTACACTGCACTCGCCGGGGTCGTAAAACTCTGATACTGGAGTGACGGTTCAGGGAATGTAATATTCTCATATTGTGTGTAGGGTGAGTACTCCCCAAAATGGAAATACGAAGCTGGAATTTGACTGCTAGTAGTACCTTCGCAGCTATATGCAATATTAGCCGTTTGAAGGTGACGTTGCGAACTACTAGAAGGTCCGGCAAACTCACAAAAAGAGGGAGTACTCATAACGGGCAATAGATTGTCCCTCCTAACCTCATTCTCCGTACCCTCATCCTCGTCCTCATCCCCAACATCATCTTCTTCTAAAACAACAGGTGCCCCTGTATTAGGCGGTTGCATTCCACGCACTCGTCTACGACCATGCCCCTCCCCTCCCACCCCACCCCGCCTTTGTCGCCTCTGACGACGACGACCCTGAACTGGTTCATTTGGGTTAGGGGCACTGTTTATAATCTCAGCAGGAACAACATTCAAAAATGAGTACGGGGACGCCGCTACGAGCTGCTCACATCTTTCGGTCATTTCACGACAATTTTGCAGCACCTCATCAGGATTATCACTATCAAGGGAGCGTCTCCCTCTAATACCCATCCTCTGCACCTCATAAATCTACGTCATAAAAATATAAAACACATCAAATTCATAACATAATAAGCATAAACGTATGAATTTAGAGAAAAACACATACTAACCAATGCAGCAAACGAGCTGGACTGCTCTTGATAACCTTGATGTTGTATATGTGCAGGATTACCTATTTGGCGACAGCCATATTGCTAGTACCAAGCAATGTATGCATCGCTCACAGTTCGTTGACCAGCCGGCACTTGAAGTTCGATTATATTTTGTTCCCAGTCATACCATGCAACTAAATAATTAAAATGTTTGTTTGCCCAATCTACTACTTTCCTCGATGACCGTTCGTCGATAGTGTGCAAGTCATCATTGTATTCAACTAGCGTAGGGACATGTTGAAACCCACCAAATTGTCTACAGAAGCGGTCAGGAAAGTAATGCTCAACAATAAAGAAAAAGATGAGCGGTACTTTTGCGATCCATATTTGTTGCTCATCCGTACAATAATTGGGCAAAATGTGCATGAATGAATTGTAAGGAGTGAACACGAACTGCAATAAAAAATATTCACAATTAGAAAATACATTTTCAACAATTTTATAAGATATCTTATGTTAAACGTAATAAGTTTATACAAATTCGTACATGGCATTTCAAAACACCAATGTTAGTAAATATCATAAGTTCAAAATAATATGTTATATACGGATCAAAGAAGAGGAATGTTTAATATATTATATTATGGTGACGTCATAACATACACATAACAAGGATTTCAAAAATCCTTTTTACGTATTTTCATAAAAAGGATTTTTGAAATCCTTGTTATGCTTGATTTTATGTTTTTACGTATGTTCATAAAAAAGGATTTTTGAAATCCTTGTTACGTATTATTTTTCTACGTTCCAGTATATATTTACATATTTTCAATTATAGTATAACAACTATAGTATAAAAAATATATAATATAACGTATTATAAACTTACGTTGCATTCGTGAGTACAATCTAATTGGTCTCGATATGCTCGAACTGTGTGTGCAGTCACATCCATAAATCCATGGTAACAAATCCATCTATGATTGCAAATTAAATCATAAGATACACAAACTTTAATTCATCAAATATAAACTTATTAAAGTATTTACTAAAACTAACCTCGCACCGAGTGGCAAATCACCTAACTGCTCCGTAGGTAACTCACCATGTGGCCTTAACATGGGTAACCGCTCCCATGCCCACAATTGAAGAAGAAGCATGCATCCGCATACTATGGAAACATCGGGGTCAGCACCTCGGCACAACGCCCTGTACAAATACGCTAGTACCGCTGAGCCCCAACTGTATTTACCACATTCTTGAAAATCCCGGAGAAAAGGTAGCAAATACAATTTGATGTCGCTTTTGTTTGTCTCAGAAAATAAAAATCCTCCAAGTAAACGTAAAATATAAACCCGCGTTGCAATTTGTACATCTACATCTGTGCTTGCGGGGGTTAGGGGCATTAGATAAGGCAAATTTGCAGACATTATTTTATTCCCTTTAATTGTGTCAATGTCGGGAGTAAATCGTAACAAATTTGTACATTCCAACTGCCAAATCTGTGGGGATTGCTTGTTAAAACCCGGTGACTGCTTGACCATTTACCTTCAATCCAAATAATACTTGGACATCCTGAAGTGAAGCTGGACCATAAATGGCAACGACATTTCCATATGCAGCTGGACCATCCACATCACGTGCATTCCAAGAGGTTGACGAAACAGAATCAGAGCCTGAACAGATACTATCTAATCACTCCGATAGTGGTGATGATGAGGAAAATACAATACCGAGTTTCCCAATGGATTTCGATTCATTTGCACAAACACACCAAAATTTGGGAAATAATTAAAGCAGCTTTCAAATGGTTCCTGATTCTGAAATTCATTACTCTCACGCTCCGGTATCATTTAATACCGGTTTTTCAGAACAGGACGATGCACAAATGATCTCATACGACCCATCTACAAATGAGATCAAACTCAGGATGGTTTTCTCTAATTTCCAACAGCTCAAAGCGGCAGTTCAAATGTACAGTTTAGCCCATAGAAGGGAATTCCGTCCTGCGTTCAAAAAGGCCAAGTCATGGCGTGTTGTGTGCCGAAATCCAGAAAGTATACAACCCCCATGTACTTGGTCATTGTCTGCAAAAAGCTTAAAAGGGGTCACAGACGAATGGATTATCACCAAGGTCAAAGAGCCCCACACATGCAGACATGATTTCTACCAGGGAGGTTCGGCCAGAATGTGCACAAGTGCACTAGTTGCCGATTTGATCTATCCAAAAATCGCCGCCGAACCAGATTACAAAATAAAACACATTCGAGCTGATGTGAAACAACACTATGGGTTGGAAATCACATACAAAAAAGGATGGAGCGCCCGTCAGAAGACTGTAGAAAAAATATACGGGAAGTTTGAACAGTCGTACACTGAGCTCCCAAAATTTTTGCAAACCTTGAAGAGTTCGAACCCAGGTACGGTCGTTGAATTAAAAGTCAACAAACCTGACACCAATTCGCCGTTTGGGCATTTTTTGTATGCTTTCTGGGCTTTTAAGCCAGCGATCGACGATTTACAATTTTGCCTACCGGTTATTACTGTTGACGATACACACCTTTACGGCAAGTATAAAGGGCATCTCCTATTAGCGATGGGAAGGAACGCTAATAGAGAAATATACCCGCTAGCGTACTCCATTGTTGATTCTGAAAACGGAGACAGCTGGACTTGGTTTCTCAATCTGCTTGCAACGCATGTCTTATCCACTATTCCTTCAGTTTGCATCATTTCGGATAAACATCCCGGGATAGATGTGGCATTTAACAACGTGTCTCAACTACGAAGTTCTCGGGTGAAGCATCGCTTCTGTTTGAGACACATTAGAAGTAATGTGATGACCAGGTTTAAAAATTCTCGTTTAAAAGACCTTGTGTGGGAAGCCGGTACTGCCGTTAGCAAAAGGAGATTCCGTTCATCAATGCAAAGCATACAACAACACTGGCCAGACGCGTACAATTATTTGTCTGAAATCCAGCCCAAAGCGTGGACATTGTCTCACGATGGTGGTCACCGGATTGGCGTAATGACAACAAATGCATCTGAATCCTTTAATAATTCTTTAAAGGGTTGTCGAATGCTACCAGTGACGGCAATAGCAACGCTTACTTTCAACAAGTTAGTCGCTATGTTTGCCGACAGACGTACCGAGGGCCAATGGATGCAAGATGTTGGTTTGCGCTGGCCACCAATTATTGGCAACGAGCTACAAAGTAGAGAACAACAGGCGAACAATGCAACCGTTCAAAGATTTAATGACACCATTGGTTTGTACGCCGTTGCTCTCGCCACAGGAAACGTCTCCCAAGGTTCAGCACCAAATGTCGAAGTTCACTTACAGAACCGTACGTGTAAATGCGGAAGGTGGAAGAGTGATGGATTACCATGTCCACATGTCAATGCAGTGTGTAACTATCGTAGGGAACACTATGACTCGTTCGTGTCTAATGTGTACTCTATCGATAACTACAGAAGGTGCTATGAAGGTAATTTCTTTCCACTAGACACAAATATCCAGTGGACAATTCCTTTGACATGTTTTCCACCACTTTCTGCGAGGCGTCCTAGTCATCCAGGACAATGGCAAACACGTCGCTTTCCAAATGAAATGGACTTTGGAACTTCTACTAGGACGACAGGGAGATGTACTGTCAAGCTCGAAGACATACTTCCTCAGAATGTCCAACTTTGTATAACCAATAGGATCTAAGTTTGTATGCTTTATTTTGTAATAGATTTTAAATAAATATTATAATTAAAATAAATAAAAAAATTATATTTCAACTTTCTTTTTTATAGTAATCATTGTTACATTATTCATTAATCATTATTAAATCAATACAAAATCATTATTCATTAATCATTGTTAAATCAATACACAATCATTATTAATCACAAATATTAATCACGGAAAGAACAATAACAAGGCGTATTAAAATCCTTTTTATGCCTAACAATAACAAGGCGTAATAAAATCCTTTTTATGGTTAAAAGGCATCCAAAAAGTCTTGTTATGCTTTATTCCCTCTTTTGCCTAAATTCAAAATCCTTCCCTATTTGGAATCCAAAATGAAATCTGTTCCTCCTCGGGGTAATGACTCTCTGCGACTAATCCATTGAGACACTATTTTATCCTTGATTTTTAATAGACTTCATCTTAATCAACTTTGCTAGAGTATATTAGGGAGTTATCTATCACGTTTTGGTATAATGTAAGTGGGCCAATGGATTAATTCAGTTGCAGAAGTGACAATCTGACAATCATCATATCATTATGAGATTGAGAGGATTATATTCTTCATATTTTTCACTGCCAGTGGTTCACTGCCAGAGTATTGTTTAGAAGGTAAAAACGTAACAATACCAAGTAAAATGAAACAAAGACAACTGTGATATGATGCAGAAAGCTAAGTAATATAAATGAATACTTTAAACAATAAATTGAAAATGGGCTAAATAATGAACACTTTACTACTATTTCCCAGAAGTTTAGATGAATTTAACCTGTGAGCAAGTGTAACACTTAAGAGGCGCAGATAATCTGGAAGTAGAGGCTGTAAGACAAGAAAATAGCAAATGGCAAGAATTTTTCAATCACCAGAAGATAATAGCTAGAACTGTACTATATATAGCTACTTAAATACTATAAATCAAACATTAAAGGTTATCATATGATGAGCATCAGTCCAGGAGTAACTGTTTCCTAACTTAGCAAAAACCTCTGAGAAACGTGTCATGGGTAACTTTCACTAAAAACCAAGAAAAAAAAGGTCACAATTTCAGAACAAGTGCTTCATTGTAAGCTGGTGACTTGAAAAGATTAAGGAACACCCCCAAATAATGGCAAAAGGGTCATAATTGAAACAAATAATTCCAATCATAGAGTAAAGCAATTTTTTTAAGCTGAAGTGAAAATTGTAGCACATACCATCTAATGCTACAGTATGCATGTGAACTTAACAACATATTCAATAACTACAAAAAATCAATATCGTCCCTGGACTATACCATAATTGCCAATTTGGTCATTGACTACCCTTCTTTTGGTAATTTTCCCCATTCCTTTTGGTATCTTCTACACATGACTATAAATTTTATAGTAATTAACTGGTAACATTGAGGCTAGATATTGACATGAACTACATTACCATGAAGACTTCCAGTTAGGGCAAAACCAAAACCTTTTGTTGGGAATATGCGACCTGCAACTGGACAGATTTTTAAGTGTATTTGATGATGTTCATATTTCCAAGGTAATAACACACTAACACCATCCATTAGTGTTCTGGCGGGTTTCTGTTATAGTAGGAATTTATTTAACTAGCCTGCACAGACAGACTTAGTTCAATGATTCAGTAGATAGTATTTATTCAACTGACAGTGTTCTGTGTACATATTGGTTGACTTTTGTCTTTGTAAAACAGCCAGACCTGGCAACCATTTCATCTTCAAAGCTTCATGCATGAATTCAGCCCCTGTCTCAATTCTCGTTGCCATCATCAAAGTGAATGTTTTTGCATTGGTTTAATTTCTTCTTTTCTTTTTAAAGAAAAAAGAAACCAATGCAAAAACATTCACATCTAGTTAATGAATGAAGATAGGACTTAGGAGGCAACCCTTAACCTTTTGACTTGATCACCACAAGGTTACAAGTTCGACTTCCACTTACTAGGATTACCCTATTGGCTTGCCTTCTTGGTTTGAGTCGGGGGTTTATACACTCAAGTAATGAGAGGTAGTACTAACAAATAAAAACATCATCGATCTTTACCATTATATTCTTGATCAATTAGCATTTTGTTGGTTAATCCGAACTTCGATCATCAACTCCTCTTTAGTATGGTGCATTAGCAGACTGTACCTGCATGCATCTATTATTCACATTTATGCATATATTATATTAAAAACAGAAATTCTTCAGTCTACTATTTACCTTTCGCCATAACCTCTTTCCATCATGTAAGTGTAAAATTTAATACACATTAAAACCCTTTTTAGTGGCTAATTTATTTGTCAATATATATTAGAATTTAGTTTTAGATGTAACCTTGGACACTTACCGTATCCTATCACTTCTTCTAATGCTACAGCCAGGGACGGAGCCAGAAATTCGATTGAGGGGGGGGGGGGGGCGAAGAAGTAGTACGGATTTAGAAATTTTTTCCAGTAAAAGCGAAACATTAAAACAAAAGAGATAATTTTAAAAAAAAAAAATAAATTACCTAAGATTTTTTTTTATATAATCATTACTTAAAAAATATTGTTGGATATGTGCGAAAAATAAAACACATCAAAACTTTATAAAAATATTCATAACATAATATGAAACATAATTAATTTGATAAAATAATTTGAATAGAAAACACATATTAAATTTTAAAAAAAGTGGCCATAGGGGAAAGACTCAAAAATATGATAAAATAATTTGAATAGAAAACACATATTAAATTTTAAAAAAGTGGCCATAGGGGAAAGACTCAAAAATAAGTTAATGCAAGGATTTGAACCCAAGACCTTTTCCATTAACAAACACATGCCTTTCCAACTACTCTAACTCCTTACTTGTTAATATTTACTAATTTGTTTATATTAATACTAACACCTATACTATATATACATATATACATACAAATATTATATATGGGGTGGGGTGGAGTGAGGGGGGCAGCTGCCCCCCTCTGCCTCCGTCCCTGGCTACAGCGCATGGTCAGTATGTATATGGTGGGAAATGGCGGTCAATGATTTATGTGGTAATTAGACCTATTATAAAGGGATTATTGATTTATTATGGACATGGATTTTCTTTCAAGTGAATGGACATCATGAATTTGGGTGAAGTTGGTTGAAGGGAAAAGCAGTATAAAAAGGAAAGACTTTCCTATTTGGTTTTCACGCACTCCATTGTTATTTTAAGATATAAAATTTCCAAACACTCTATTTCCCAACATTCTACTAAATCAGGTTTCTATATTGTTATAATAATATTATTATTATAATTTAATTAAACCAAGTATGTGGGAGTTGTGGCAATGCATGCAGATTGAGGATACAGTAAGTGGGTCATGACTTTACAATACATGGAGCATGCATCTCCTAAATTTATGCTTTACTAGTTTTGTATTCACTATAAATTATTAACCATTTTAAATCATCAATTTGAATCACAAAGCATTCTTTCCTCTCTCTCCCTCTTTCTCTAATATATTATATATATATATATATATATATATATATATATATTATAGATATATTATATTATATTTAATATATATTATATTAAATATATTATATTTAATATATCTAACATTTGGTATCAGAGCCAGTCAACCTTTCAACCCCGAGGTATTTTTCATAGTGAATTATGGCCACAAATTTCAATATTGTATGGTCGGGTCCCAAATTGGACGGGAACCTCGATTACAATTATTGGCAAATTATGATGTCCACACATTTGCAAGCTCAAAATCTTTGGAGCTTTGTTGATCCCGGTCTACCCGAAGGAGCTGATGCAGGCGCTATACGGCGAGATAAATTGGCCTTGGGTCAGATTCACCAAGGTGTTCATTATTCCATTTTTGGACAATTAGCTCGTGCTCAAACAGCAAAACAAGCTTGGGACATCTTAAAGGTGTCACACAAAGGAGTTGATCGGGCGCAGAAGTCTAAGTTGAAGTCGTTGAGAAGGTTGTACGATAATTGTGAGATGACCTCTACAGAAATAGTAGATGCGTATTTCACTCGTCTTATTGATATGGTGAATAAGATGAGGCTATATGGAGATACGATTGAAGATGGTGCAGTGGTTGACAAAGTTCTTCGAACTATGCCGATGAAGTATGACCATGTGGTGGCTTCGATCACAGAGTCACACAAAACTGAGCTCTTATCAATTGCAGAGCTGAAAGGTATGGTAGAAAGTCATATTGACAGGATTGCGTCAAAATCGGAACCACTAGCAGAAGAAGCTTTGAAGAGTCAAGTCACCCTTAATGTGACTGGCACTAATCAAAGAGGTGGAGGATCTGGTAGAGGTCGTGGAAGAGGAAGAGGAGGTTCTGGTGGAAGAGGTCGTGGTAACTTCAACCAAGGAGGAGGACGTGGTAACTCCAACCAAGGAAGAGGTGGAGGTAATACCAAACAAGGTAAATTTCCATTTCATTGCTACAATTGTGGCAAGTATGGGCACAAGATTGCAGATTGTTGGTATAATGAGGACAACAATCGTGGAAATCAAGCAAACATTGCTGAAAATACTGCTGAAAAGTCTGGTGAGAATTCTGAAACCTTACTTTTGGCCAGTGATAGTTTTTCTGCTGATAAGAACATATGGTTCTTGGATACTGGGTGTAGTAACCATATGTGTGGGAAGAAAGAATTGTTTTCCGAACTAGATGAATCAGTCCGGTCTGAAGTAACGTTTGGCAATAAGTCAAAGGTACCAATTTTGGGAAAAGGTAAAATCTCTATTCAGTTGAAGGATGGTACTCGCAATTTTATATCCGATGTGTTCTATGTTCCTGAACTACACCAAAATTTGTTGAGTATGGGTTAGTTGTCAGAAAAAGGATATAAGATACATATTGCTCAGGGGTGTTGTACCATTGCAGATGCTAAAGGAGTTTTGATTGCAAAGGTAAATATGTCTCAAAATCGACTATTTCCTTTGAAAATTAAGCATACTCTCCTTGCTTGCTTTAATTCTGAAGTTTGTGATGATAATTGGTTATGGCATATGCGGTTTGGGCATTTTCATTTTTCTGGATTACACTATCTTGCGAGAAAGGAACTTGTTTCTGATTTACCTGTTGTGAATGTCCCTGATCGTATATGTGAGATTTGTGTGATTGGGAAGAAGCATAGAGATCCCTTTCCCGTGGGCAAGTCAAGGAGAGCTACAAAACAGTTGGAGATTGTTCACTCAGACCTGTGTTCGTTGGAGGTTCCCTCATATGGAGGTTGTAAGTACTTTATTACTTTCATTGATGATTTCAGTAGGAAAACATGGGTTTACTTTCTGAAGCAAAAGTCTGAAGCATGTGATGTTTTCAAACAATTTAAGGCTTTTGTTGAAAAGCAAAGTGGTTATGAAGTTAAAATCTTGAGAACTGATAGAGGTACAGAATATATTGCTTGTGATAATTTTCTGAAAGAAAAGGGTATTCAGCACCAAATGACAGCTAGATACACTCCACAACAAAACGGAGTGGCTGAGAGGAAGAATAGGTCAATCATGGATATGGTGAGGTGCATGTTGAAATCCAAGGATCTGCCTAAACCTTTTTGGGCAGAAGCTGTTGCTTGTGCTGTTTATGTGTTGAATAGGTGTCCAACTAAGAGTTTCCGTGATAAGACGCCCGAAGAAGCTTGGAGTGGGAGAAAACCCTCTATCAAATATCTCAAGGTTTTTGGATGTTTGGCATATGCACATGTACCAAATCCGTTGAGAAAGAAGTTGGATGATAAAGGTGAGAAATGCATATTCATTGGTTATAGTGACGCTTCAAAGGCTTATAAACTCTATAATCCTGAAACTAAAAAGGTTGTTATAAGTCGTGATGTCACTTTTGATGAATATGGTGCCTGGGATTGGTTAGCTAAAGATGAAAGTTCAGTTGTTATTCCTGTTGTTGAAAATATTGTTGATGAGCAACCGATTCCAAATCATGTCCAGTCTCCTTCACAGCCAGAGTCGTCAGTTCGGCGATCTCAGCGCGATCGCCACTTACCAGCTCGCTTGCAAGATTATGTTTTGGGTCATGATAATGACCTGTCTGATGAAGAGATTGTTCAATTTGCTCTCTTTGCAGATTGTGATCCTTTAACTTTTGAGGAGGCTGCTACAGAAACTCATTGGCTTAAGGCGATGGATGAGGAGATACGTGCCATTGAAAAGAATGGTACCTGGGAGTTAACAGATTTACCTCCTGGAAAGAAGCCAATTGGAGTGAAGTGGGTTTACAGAACGAAGTACAAGTCAAATGGAGAAATTGACCGTTTTAAGGCACGGTTAGTAGCAAAGGGTTACAAACAGAAACCAGGTATTGATTATTTTGAGGTTTTTGCTCCTGTAAGTAGACTTGATACAGTTCGAATGGTTATTTCTCTTGCTGCTCAAAATGATTGGAAATTGCATCAAATGGATGTTAAGTCTGCTTTTTTGAATGGTTTTCTTGAAGAAGAAATATATGTTGAGCAACCTGCAGGATTTCTGAAGAAAGGGGAGGAAAATAAAGTGTACAGGTTGAGAAAAGCCTTGTATGGCTTAAAGCAAGCGCCTAGGGCGTTGTATGGTTGCATTGACTCATATTTTGTTGAAAGTGGTTTTATGAGATGTCCTCATGAACACACTTTGTATGTCAAATGCACTGATTCTGGTGATATTGTTTTAATCTGTCTGTATGTTGATGATCTGGTTTTTACTGGAAACAACTTGAAGCTAATCTCAGAATTCAGGGAGGCACTCATTAAGAGGTTTGAAA